AAATGTCAACAAACGACACAAAGATGGTTGAAACTGCAACCGCAAAAGAGAAAAGCAGAAATACAATTGTCAATCCACCAGCTGCTTCCTCCCCAGGCCTTTAGAAGGCGAAGCGGCACGCGTGGACTTCATTGCGTGGGACGAGCGTGGAGCACGAGCGGGAAATGATGGGAAGAAAAATTTTTTTCCCTTCTCGTCTCTCACTTCTCTTCAACATAAGAGATCAAGAGCGACTGGGAACAAGGCAGATCTAGCAGGCAGGCTTACCCAGTTACTGTAGCAACACCTTGCTGCATGAGAAATCTGGTGAGAAACACCCATCTAAAATCTCTCTCTGTTGAAAAACAACAACAAAAAAGAGCATATTAGAATATATCACACATACACATGATTGCAAACTGCTCACGTTATATTTTGTTTTCACTCACCTTTCAGTGGCTCCCAGTAAGCTAAAAATACAGTCTTCAACCCTATAAAAAAACAACATTTACATTTTACTTTTTGTACACTTCTGTATTACGAAGTAAAAGTGAAAAAACAAATCGGCACATCTATGCACATATGCGAGAAATTAATGCAAAAAACACAGCAAATTTAGTTAAAGTCAGAACTACAAATACATGTATCCTGGACAGATCAGGTACTTAAGACTATCACATTACTTTGTAGCTGAAGATTTTCAAACCAATAACAAAAATAAAAAGTCAACATAATGTATGTCCAACAACTCTTCTGGTTTGTCAAAGTTAAATGGTGACCTCATCAGATATCTGTCCTTTTCAAGACATCTTGTCCTTTTTCAGGAAAAAAAATACTTGCAGGCCTGATAGTAACTTCTCACCCTAAGAGAAAGCATGATATTTATGATCTTTAAAGCACATAGTGAAGAAATTGGTTACTTAATGCACCTCATATCCACTTTTATGGATTCCTGTCTCTAGTCGAATTACCAATGTGTAATAACAGAAGTGACACCAATTGACATTTAATTTCACGTCAAGTGAAACAAAGCCAGATTTGATACATGTTGTGCACTGTACAATAACACTCCATTACTCACCAATGGGCTTATGGGTCACATTTATGGGGGGCTCAGGACATGACACCACTGTGAGGAACACGCATATAAAGTACAGCACAGCCACCAGTGAGTATGTACCCACAATTCCAATTTTCTAAAACAGGGTGAAAGAGAAAGACGTCGGGTAAGTCATGTCGTTTTAGACCGACATTCATACTTGCCTCCAAGTCATGAACAAGTACTAGTGAAACAAATTAAATGGATTTTTTATCCCTGAATTTCAGGATGATTCTTTCGTTTTATTCCATTACTGCATTGAAACTAGTCTAAAGTACGGGGTATTGGTCGTTTTGATACAAAGTCGTTTAAATACAAGTTGACTCAGTCGAGGTGTAAATAGTTTCATGATTCACTCATTCCCAGGGCATTCCCTTACAAACTGGGAGCATCCAATTTTATAACAGAAAAAAACCCTGGAGACAAGGTTGCAAGGTACCACTACACTCTGTGCCCAGTTGGGTGCAAACCCACACTTAACCCTTTAAGCCCTAATATCCACATACAAATTCTCCAAACTGATCTTTATATATTTCCTTAAAGAATGAGTTGAGAGAATTTGATAAAAGATCAAAGAAAAAACAGTAGGTGATCATTTTATTAATTCTCATGATCAAATCTCTTGACAATGTATGGATATCGTTAAGAGAAAATTGATCTTGGTCACTATTGGGACTTAAAGGGTTAATCAATCTCTTTCAATATGTGTGGAAAGCTTGATAAATTACTTCTTTAATAGCATTTTTAATAAAAAATTAATGAATCAACTCCAATATTTCACCGTTATGTGTATTTATTTTCACGTATGAGCAAATTGCCAAAAAACTTCACCTGAATTGGGCATTCAGAAAGTTCAGCGTTATTTTGAAATGATTATCGCATTGTTTACACTCTTAGTTATAGATCTCAGAATGATGTCAAAATTTTACGGTTCCTCCTGAGTTGGAAAAGATTCATCAATTAGATCTCAAAAGTTTTAGTCTAGAATCCGCTGAGGTTGAAACTTCATGCAGTATGGACACTCTCAACAATGAAAGTAACTCACTTCTCTGTTTTAAAAACGTTTCATATCAGTTATAATTCAATTAGAAATAGTTTAAATGTTTACCAGTCTTCCAATTGTGCGAAAATATAATGAACTATTTTAAAGTTTGGGATTATCACTTTGTCTTCTTTATAGCTACATTATTATCAGCAAATATTAATCCATCTTTCAGAAGGAATTATATAGCAATTCACATTCAATCTTGTTGTTTTGTGATAGATTGATTAGTTGTGCAAAGTAAATACTCACCGGAAAGAAAAACCCAATGAGTGCTCCAGTAACATTTCCAACTAATGTCATGGCCCCCATCACACCGGAACTAAAGCCTGTGATTATTGTTTTAAGTTCAATTTATAAGAATTGTTTTTAATTTACATTTAAAAGGCATTATCACTACAAAAGTAACTCAAAAGTCAAGTACGGGTCAGAGTATTGGTGTTTTTAATTATATTCTCTTTAAAACTTGGTTTTAGTAAATGTTTCCAAAAACTAACTTCACTTTAAACTCTGTGGTGTAGGTTGTTGCTTGTCAACTTTGTTGAAAAATCACTTTCNAAGTAAATACTCACCGGAAAGAAAAACCCAATGAGTGCTCCAGTAACATTTCCAACTAATGTCATGGCCCCCATAACACCGGAACTAAAGCCTGTGATTATTGTTTTAAGTTCAATTTATAAGAATTGTTTTTAATTTACATTTAAAAGGCATTATCACTACAAAAGTAACTCAAAAGTCAAGTACGGGTCAGAGTATTGGTGTTTTTAATTATATTCTCTTTAAAACTTGATTTTAGTAAATGTTTCCAAAAACTAACTTCACTTTAAACTCCGTGGTGTAGGTTGTTGCTTGTCAACTTTGTTGAAAAATCACTTTCATATATTATTATAGCGACACTGTATTTTTCTTTCATCATTATTATTTATGCAGTATTTTTCTCTCTTTTATATTAGCAGGGTTTTGCACAATGTGCAAACTCCAGTAGTCAGGTCAAGAACACTGTAATACTCACATTAAATTTTTGGATGAATAACAATAGCGGTGATTTACTAAAGTTCATTAACTTTTGACATCATTTATTCATACATGTACATACAGTTAACCATTTTTCCATATTAAACAACTACAGTATCAGAGAACATAAATGCATCTATTAGGTTAAAAGCATTTAATTTTATTTCAATTCAAATTTATTCTTTATCTAGTTATAAGTAATATTATTTATTTGTATCGAAAGTTTCTAAAAAATTTTTTCTGAGAGTTGATAGCAACCCCTACTAAATAACAGATTAAAAATGACCAAACAGTTCTAAGTCATTGCCACACGGTATGTGTACAACTTACCTCTTTGAAATGAAGGTGTCAAATCAGCTATTAATCCATTATATGGCACGCTCATAATGGAATAACATGCCATAACACACAGATAAAAAGCTATGTACAGACCTATGGAAAAGGAAATTGACTTCTATTTATTTACAACATACACAACAACAGTAATTGATAAGCGACTTATAGTGTTTTTTTTTGATAGTTACACTATCATCATACCCTCACTGTTAGAGGCTAAGACTCACTGAGATGCTCACCAAGGTTATTACTTGGTGTTACGGAGTATGAATTTATTCTAATTAGTATATGCTAATAATTATCTGTAAACCATGATATATGCATATACTAATTACCATAAACTCATGCTCGGTAACACCAAGTTGTAACCCTCACCAAGACCTTGTTCAGAAACTGGGAAACAAACTTGTACCAAAAATGTCTCCAAATCCAAAGTGGAAAGAAACACACGAGACTTTGCTACTCATAAAAAACCCATACATGACTCTGAAATTTCCAGATTAAATTGATGCTTAGTACCCCTTATTATCCCTTGTTGCCACCATGAATACCTCTGTCTTCTCACTAACCAACAAACATTTCCACAGCTTCTACATATGTATAACTCACAGGAATCTTACCCTTAACAACAAGGATTTAAAATAAATCAAACCTCCAATAAAGAATGTAACTTCCTTACTTTCAGGGTTAATTACTAGTCAATCGACATACTCTGAAAAATATTATTAATTGATTTGGAGTTTTTGAGAAAGAAATTTTGTGGTGCAAACAAAATTCATTACAGTTGAACCTCTCCAAGCAGACTTTTAATTGGTACTTTTTGCTCCTTCAAACAGTTACACCTGTAACATGTATTTTAAAACAAAAAAGGTCATTGGGTGCCTCTGAGATACCTATAGTTACTTTCAGTCTTTTAGTATTAGTTTGATGTACACTGTAAGTTCTGCTTTTGACTTATGATCACAAGTTAGTGCCTCTGTGTATTAAACTGCCAGTAAATTGCATAGAGCAAGGAAATGTAGTCAACACAAACCTATATTTCCTCGTGAATCTTCTTTCTGCATGAGTATACTAAGTAGGAAGCTTTCATCAGATTCACTTGTCATGTTATCTTCTTGCTTCTCTAAGACTGACAGGTTAAAATAAGGAATACATCGCCGCAGCCTTAAGTCTATGGAACACTGATGGAAGAAAGACATCACAATCATAAAAAGATCTATAAAATCTCTTCACTGTGGGCACAAGACAGAAAAAACACTTCTGAACCAACAAAACAACAGCAAAGTAACTGACAATAAGGGTTTTGATGGTACTGGGATAACAATAAACAAAATCTAAACAAATAACTAAATCATAATGAACTTACTGTTACATTTGATATGTCACTGCAATCAAAACAAAAAGAGCAATCAGCTAGTTCAAGTTGAAATAAATATTGATTATTGATATCTTATTTTTGCACCATTAATACTGTCTACTGGTACTTGTATGTACAGTATAATATAATGTTCTCGTTCAAGTTTGCACTTGGTTTAAATTTTGTTTTGCTTTAATTCATACATGTATTTAAACCACAATAAAATAATACACTGTATCATTTACATAGTTTGTCAGCTGACTAACAAGATCGGATAGACCACCGCCTGAAAAATTAAGCTATTGCCTGACTGACTGACTAGTTGAGATTAAAAATTGATTGACAGACTGATAGACGAGACAATTTACTGATTGATTAAGATAAGGTACAATTTTCATGTCACACAAATTATGTAATTAGTGTAGGACAAAGTCCGAGATGTGAAGAAGGATTACTTAACTCATTGTTTGAGAACAGGACTGACCATGACTGAGGCCTGCTGATTTACCAGCTATAATAATATTATTATCATAAAAAAGTAGTTGACCGGCTAATTCAATGACCAGCAACCATATTGATGAGTTGATTGATCAAGAGTACTCTAAAAAGAAAAACTGTATGGAGCCATTCCCACCTTTCAATATCTGGGGCACTGAATGCCATGCCAAACAGAGCTATACTGCAAAGATAAAACACACCAGGCCCCATTGTATTGACTATTTTCCAATTCCCCATAATACACTCTGTCTGCCCCCCAAATTTTGCATAACTTATTGTCTTAAAATGCTCTTGGGAAAATGCAATACTCCCAGGAGCATTTAAAAACAATGGTTTATGCAAAATTTGGGGGGCAAACAGGGTGTATTATGGGGAATTGGAAAATAGAGAATTAGTTTAAAATTTAACTGACAAGGTTAAAATGGTTTCAAGCTACATCATTCTTAATTTCTCTGTCTCCTATCCCTAATGATATTCNTTTGCATAACTTATTGTCTTAAAATGCTCTTGGGAAAATGCAATACTCCCAGGAGCATTTAAAAACAATGGTTTATGCAAAATTTGGGGGGCAAACAGGGTGTATTATGGGGAATTGGAAAATAGAGAATTAGTTTAAAATTTAACTGACAAGGTTAAAATGGTTTCAAGCTACATCATTCTTAATTTCTCTGTCTCCTATCCCTAATGATATTCATGATTATGAATAATGTCATCAGTTTCCCTTCTCCAACCCATAATGAGTCAAAGAAAATAATTTGACAATCAAACTGTATGAAACAGTAAGACCATTTATATGAGGAAAAATGACGTAACTTATCTCCATCTTAAATTAGGTGCAAACTTCTATAAAAATAGCTCATTTCATCCTAAATAAGACAGATCTTATCTAAAAACAGCCCTGAACACTTAGTACAGAACCACTCTTGATGGATTTTACATACATTATGAAACAATATCTTTGTTGTCAGTTTAAAATAACCTTAAAGGTTTACAAATAAAAACATGTTCCGTCCAAAGAGAAAATAAGAAGTCTAGGAGTGATCACACAACTCACCAAAGTAGCACAGTACCACCAAGCATGAGAGGACGTCGCTTTCCAAATTGAGAAACAAGACGGTCACTAGAAATAAAGAAAACTAATGTTCAGTTACTGTAAGACAGTATTTAGCGTCTGTTTCAGGTCAGTTGGGACAAGGTGCACTGTACAAGTACATTGTGTCATTGCTTTCAAACAGAAACAGAGGAGCCACTAAAAATAATACCCATAAACAACTGAATGGTCTGGCAAAACCCTTCATTATCAAAAACAAAAACAAATTGACACTCAACTTTCCATTACTACTGACAGTTTAACTGTAACAAAGGTTTCACACACATTTCCAGTAGCTCTTACTAAACATGTTGTTGTTGATAAAATTAATGAGGTTATACACATGTGTTAACAAAAATGAATACATTAAGAATGTTAATGTTTGGAGTCTCTTATATTCCCATGATTTTGTAAAAGACATTAGTAACCTTTTCAATAATTTGACACAGGGACATTCAACACATTTCAAAACAGAGGCCATCCTTATACAGGCTGTACAGGGCTTGAAAAATGTTTTAATAAAGCTTTTTTGAAGCATGAAAATGAAAAGCTGAAAATTAAAATCTCCAGGTTTTCCTTGCTCAAGCTTACTAGAGCTATAATTGCTTGGTGACCTTAGCAATGATTTAATTGCTAGATGGCTTACCTGGCCCATTAGAGAAGTGAGGTTAAAACATTACTTGTAAAAAAGGAAATCGTTTTGTCCCGGACAATCAGACAAGACTTTATAGAGCCTTGATTTACCCCCAACATGGCTCTAACTAAAAAAAGATATCGAAACTAGCACAATATCAAAAACACAATTTTAGATGACAAAAATTTAAAAAAATTTGTCATGAAATTCCTTATTTAGCAATTTACAATTGTATTTACCTTTTCATCCCAACTAGAGGACTTAAGAAAAATGTGACAACTGAAGGAAAAAATATAAGTCATCATCAGCATCCAAAGTTAATTAACATAATTATGATGAAGAACAATGGGCAGCACTGTTCATTACTTTGCCAGTTAAACCCAATACTATCCTTCACAACATGCATTGTGTAAAACATTCATTAATAAATGTAAAAGCAACTAAAGTAACTAGAATAAAGAAGTTCCATTTACTAAAATAATTAAATAAATTATACACTGTAAAAGTATATTTATAACATGAAGCATATAAAACTTCAAGGGCTTTCAAGGAACAAGAAAAATAGTTCAGTGATTAAAGGGCATACCATCAAGGCCTTAACAATTGGGTTTTTAAAGGTTATCAATAAGTACATGTATATGACCCTGAGATATCTTCAGTGATTATCACTTAATTCCTAAGAAGTGCAGTCTCAATCTGATAATCGAACCCCTGCCCCCCAACCCCCCCGCCCCCCCTCCTGGGGAAAAGGAAACTGACTCACATTTTTAGGAGGTAAGTGAAATAAGGGGTAGAAACACATTTGAGATTCAGTCTACTGAATGTAAAGTTCATCTTGTTAAAATTGTATGTTCAGCAAAGATTGTGCTGTCCAATAAAAATTTAATTATCTGACATTCCGTCTGAAAGTTTACCCCGTTACATGGAAATCAAACTGAAAAATTAATAGTAATAAGAACTTACCAGCCCCTGCTGCCACCATACCACCCAACACTTGACCTTTCTTTTCAGAACCCACAAGCGCATACACTTGAGATGGCACAACTGAAACAACAATGAAAACAAAATAGATGTATAATTAACACGAAACAAAAGCATCTTTCTCTGTGGTTGATCAATTAAAAGGTGCAGGTTCAGTGCTCAAACTACTTTAAGGCGGCATACATGTACCCTCTTTAGTGACTAGCTTAATTTCATGAGCAGAAGTGACCTGTCATTGATCTCATGGCAAGTTACATGACTGGGAAAATGAAGTAAATCCCGAGTTCTGATTAGCCACCTGAAAGAGTTAGATGGGCCTTGGCTGCTTGGGATTTCCCACTTTGATTCAATAATAAAGAATACTTTTCATGCTATGTACAAAATAAATCCCTTATTGGCCAAGCTTGTTCAGTAAGATGGATAAACAGTGGCCATGTTTTTGGTTGTTTCTTTTTTGTTTGTTGACGTTTTCTTGATCCATAAAACAGCAAGAATAACCAGTTGCCATTATCCAGTCATGTTGACCTTGTACTTGCTCAATAACACAAACAATGTACAAAATACCAATACCGCAGCTGCACGTGCAAATTATTTAAAGTAGTAACAGGATGTCACTGTAGGTCTCACCTTCAACAGATAGAATGAGGTACATGACGTTCATCCCAAACCAAGATATGTTCAGGAAGAACACTCTTGACTTGGAGAGTGCTGGAACTTGGCATGATGCACCTAGTCTAACAACATAAACAAGAAAATTTCAGTCTTGAGTTGAAAGCCTTCACAAACAAAATGGCTGGGAAGGGATCTTAGCAAGTGGTTGGAAAGGTTGTACAAATTAACAGGAGTCCATTTTGATCCTCAAAAAAGAGAGTTTTCTCTGTTGCTAAATATCCCCCGTCCCCCCTATTCAATGAAACAGAACAAATATTACGTGCACAAACATTAACATTTTGCTCAACATTTGGTCTGGGGCAGGGGAATAAAGAGGTAAAAAAAGTAACCTTCCCAACACTTTTGACGATGATTGTAGCTATATTTTGTAGGTGGAAACGCTTGTGGACCCTTTTCAGTAAGAGAAAAAACAATGCACAGGGATGCTTTCTTTCAAACTTTGTTCCTCCTCTGAGGCCCCGTTAGGGTAAATTTCAACAGGCAACATGGCCTTGAAACAGTGACATTGCAAAACAGAAATGTCAACAAACGACACAAAGATGGTTGAAACTGCAACCGCAAAAGAGAAAAGCAGAAATACATTAGTAAAATGCCAAAAGCGACATGCCTTCCTCGCAAGGTTTTAGCCAAAAGGGTGTCCAGACATCCTATAAATGCCCATTTTTGGAAGAAATACAAGGAAAGTTCACTTAACCTCTTAAAAATTTTATGGGAAAGCATGCCTTCTGGATGGCCAGTTTTCAATGTCTGGCTAAAAGCCTGCTTCCTCATCAATACCCAAAACAGTACGTTTTGAAATTCAAACCACGGACATACAAGAACATAATAATAATAATAATAAAACATGTACACATTGCACACTTTAAAATACTAGAAAAATGTTAAGAATAAAAGTCAATGAAAATACTCATAATTTTAATAAAAATGTGTGTAACCTCCCTAAGAGTGCCTCAGTAGTACAGTTATATGTTCCCCTAATGTCACTCATTGCAGAGAGGCATGCTTTTGGCTCTCTGCACTTGTTTACAACAAGGGCAAGATGCTATTGGGCCATAAGAATAAAGACTTTCACTTTCAATATCTGTGGGCACACTACTTTTCATTATAAATAAACTTCCTCTGAAATATTAATAATGCACAAGACGAGAAAACCTTAACCCTACCAGTGATCTAAGGATTACATGTAACTGCACTCAACAGTACTGTCGTAAGTTGACTCCTTTAACTTACTTGTGCATCCTACTTGTGCATCCTTTCCTCATAAACCCTAATTTAGCCTAAAACAATTTCCATGGCTATCCAAAGGATGGAGGGAAAGGATAGGGGTGTAAGAGATAGAAATTTCTAAAAAGAACCATGCAAAATCATTATTAAATAGAGGGCTGATGGCAAAAATGGCTAACTTGTTCCCTCTTCCACCTTATAAAACAAGAATAATTATGTATAACATTTTAACTCACTGTTTGTCTTCATGCTGGTGTTGCTCCGACAATTCCTGTCCACTGAGTTCCTCAGGATCAGACCCTGTAACAATATTCGTTGAGATAAAATTACCTACAGTAATATCATTTGACAGAAAAGGAAACTTGGGTTGACAATTCTAAAATCGAGAATGATCATAATTTATTGTGATTGGATCAAATGCTCCTCATCCATCTCTGCTTTGAATTCCACTTGGAGGAAAATAACCGAAGCAGATAATCTGCTTCTATTATAATTAATGTGGAGAGAACAGAATAATTTGCAGCATTACAGCTGTGCAAAAACACAAGAAATTTGATGAAATAAAGCCCACACTAAATATTAAAATTTTCTGGTTTTAAATGATATTATTTTGGCCTAGTCTTATCCAAAATGTTTTGTAAGAACCTTCATTAATGTGAAAGCAAATTTGTTGAATATGTCTTTGATTCAAGAAATTTCATTTGGTGCTTCTTGTATGGGCCAAAATTTGATTAAAATAGTCAACACATTCAATTCTTCTTGGCATATGACTCTATGAAGCCATTTTGCAGGCTTGCACCTCTTCCCACACTCACTGCACATCAAAAAATTGTCACTTTTAATATACAACAGCACGGATTTTGACACAACAATCTAATTGGTAACCTGGTTTTGTGACATAGTGTGACTCTGCCATGACCCAATAAAAAAAATCCTAGCTATGTCCCTGTAGGGGCTACGAAGAGAAGCTTTTCTTTCCTAACAGTTGAAACTGTCTATTGTAGCTAACGACTTACATGTTTGTGTAATTTGAAACTCTTTTATATCTCGATGCTTGGGCACAGCATTTTCTGTTAATTCTCTCTACGATTTTTCTAGTATTTTTTCAAAGTGCCTATAGGCTTAACTCTTGCTACAATCGAAAATTAGATCACTAGGCTTTGTCAAGGGAAATCTGAGGCAGTATCCAGAGTGGGTGAAAGTCCAAGCATACAGCACTCTGGTCCATCCAGATGTGGAATACACCAGTTCTGTATGGTCACCACATCAACAGTACCAGAAAATAAGAATATACAGGCTGTACAGTGCAAGGCCACCCACTTCTGCATGAATAGCTGGGATAGAGAAACTGAGGACAGTGACTAGTTTGCAGGGTGCCTTTAAAGATAAGACAAGAAAGAGCAAGGCTGTTAATAACACTGGGTCGTCGGACATTAACCAACCAAAATTTGCTAGTATCCAATGAAATCCCACATGTGCTGGGACATTATGTCCGGAGAATTTTTTTTATTGTCAATCATCTTACAGTAAAGAGGAATAACAATCTCACTTGAGTAAACTATACTCTGAGTTAGGACGATGTCAAAGTCACAAAGCAACATTACCATGGGTAATGAAGTTTTCTTTTAACATTAGCGTAGTATGTCCTCTGATTTACCCGAGAGGTAGCATAATGCTTTTCCAAAAATTGTGTGACACTAACGTGTACAACAGGAGTCTCTTTCCTGCCGCAATAAACTTGTGGAACAGCCTACCTCCCAAAGTCAATACTCAGCCAAATCTCAAAGGCTTCAAGGCTGGACTGGACAGTTTTTGCATGAATTGATTCATTAATTTAATTTAGTAATTCATTAACCACTTTCTTGTCTATTTTGTTTATTTTGAATCATTATTATTTTTGCTTCTTATACCCTCGTGATGGCTATGCTTTTGTGGGTGGTTTGAAAAAAAAAAAGCAAAACGCAAACGTGAACGAGATTGTTTAATACGCTTACAGAGACAACGTTTACTGTATAAAGCCTACTTATTTTTAGAAGTTTCGTTACGCACTCAAGTTATCAAGGGAGGTTGTACCTCATATATCGATTAAAATATACCGCAAAGCAAAGTATTAATGCAGCCTCAAGAACGGAATTAATACAGAGGAGTAAAAAAAAAAGGCACAAGATCGAGTGAGAAACGTCAAGGTACAAGAATTTCATTAAGCCTTTAGGCCCAGCGTAGCGGAAAACTGAGGAAAGCGAGGGATGTCTTGAAGAAACACTTGTCAATCATTGCAAAAAAGAGTTGTCTAATTCCTGATAAAAAGTACCTTTTTCTTCGGGTGTTTTCTCCATCTTTGGGTCATTTCCCATGCTAGAAAGGAGCGAAAAATTAAAGTCATGACAACGGTAACATTCGCTAAACAATCCCTCTCGAAGCTACACTAAAATGGACAATCGACTAAGCTGATCAATTCGACTTGCAAACAATTTCCAAAGCGAAGTTGTCTTAGTTTCCTCTCACCTGGATGCCATACTGGTTAATACATCCTATCATCTTACGATATTAATTCCAAGTTTAAGATTTTAAGGACATTTTCCACACCTTCGAGGAGAAACCACCGTCCTCGCTTGGGACATCAGGTCATCGCCATGTTGACAAACTGACATCACGACCTCATACCCAGACTCCTGAACGTGAATGTAGGCACGCAATTCGTCCTTGTTTGTAAAAGGTAGCCCGAATTGGTAATGGGTCCACTTTTGGCCAGAACGATCAACTAAGTCACGTAAGTGGAGACAAATTTTCACTCTAACAAGCCCTACCTCGCTCAAAAATATTTGTTAAATAAGCCTTCTCTCTCAAAAATATTCCCCTTGGATAGAAGCCTCCATTTTCCCCGCTAATAACATTAAAAATTCATGGGCAGCGCCCCTCTCTGGGTTGTTGCAAAATAGAATAATTCTATCTTGATTATTGCCGATACATTTGTTTCAAATTACATCCGGCCGTTAGTATTTGAAGTAAAAGCGGAAAGATTTTTCTTTTCCTGCTTTACATAGACAGTAGTTGATAACGTTAATAATTGATAATTGATAACAGTGAAAAATGGTAGAAAAGTACGATCAGCTTTGGAGAATTCAATGTGTCTACTTAGTGTATATTTTTGCGTATCAGGTCTTCTATATATCCTACGTTCTGCGGCAAATTATTTTGTGGTCCTTTGCAGTTTAAGTGTCGAAATGCCCATCGGCGTTTTTGAATATTCGACCCAAATGGACGCTTTGAGCAAATGTCCCCAACATTCTGGAGACGAGGCGATCATCTTCAAGTTTTCATGGGAAAGCTATCCTGAAATTATTCTAAAGGAAACTGAGTAAGAAAACACGACAATGATAAAACAGGTGATAAAGTGGATGTAAAACTGGAGCTATATTCTATATTATATCTCTTCTCCTTTCGGCTGAATAGAAGCCACATCTTAGAAACCTAACTCTATACTAAACCCTGGTCCTATGGAAGAGCTGAGAAAACTCCTGCCTTCAATGAAGCACTTCCTTTCTGTTTGGTAGGGGCATCGAAATGTTCCGTCTCTTTATTGTGAGTTTCAGGGGTCCTCAGCCCTCTCTTTCAGCAGGAGTCAAAGTTAATGGGACTGAATATTTCACACAGAGCTGAACAGAACCGGTGAACGGAAGTCAAAATTTTTTCTAGTCTGTTTAGATTCTCGTATTTTATCGTAATGTCATCGAAGTTACCGACAGCCAACTTGGTTTCAAATGCACAGGGGGGCGGGCGTCGTGGATTCTAGCGGTGGGGTTAGAGAGAAGGTCAAACAGAGTCAGGCCCACTAAGTTGATTTGATCCTCATCCCCAGGCAACGGTAACGGTAGGCGCTTGATTTCAACAATTTTACAGGGAAAAAAATAGGGGGACTGTAAACAGTTTATATGGACATCATAAAATAACTCGTGTTTTTGTTTTTATGGTTGTTTGTTTGTTTTTGTCGTTGTTGTTTTTGTGTTTTCCTTTGTTTTAAAGGGGAATTTACATAGTTTGAGAAAGGTTTGGAAGGGAAACTCAATAACACCTTGTAAAATCCTTTACTGAAGCCCTCTTAGCAGTAAAAACTTAAAAATCATTTGTAGTCTGCGTAGCAGGCGCTTGGAAGTAGTGGGGGCAAAAAAGAAAGTTGCGCACGAGTGGAACACGCTTCTCCCTCTCGCGCGCCCGTTCTCTCTTTCATCCGAAAAACTTCCAATAGCCTGATACGTAGGCTTAATTGACATGTTTTCAAACTTACATCTAGACCAACACATACTGAGTAGTGTTGTGCTGTGTTTTCTGATAATCAGGCCAGTCCTTTCGTACACTCGTAGCACATCATGGCTGACTCTCGTCCTTTTACTTCATGTTTTTTATTATTTTAAGTTAACTTGCGACTCCTATCCTTATGTTCGGAAAAATAAGAAGAAAAAACTCATTTTTAGGTACGTAAATAATATTACATGACAAAGGTGACTTGTAGTTCCTGATCTTGTTTGAAAAACTCTGTATTCTGTTTTCCAACTTTAGAGCTCAACTTTACCCCTCGACACTCCTTCATGAAACGTGATGAAGGCTGGTACAGTGGAACCTCGATTTAACGAAAGGCCAAGGGTCTGGCAAAATTTGTTCGTTATATTCCTTTTACCATTTCTGGGGTAAAGAAAATCGTTTGTTATACCGAGGAAGTCGTTATACACATTCTTGGACCTTTATTGTTTTTACTNATCATGTGTATCCTAGAGGAACAAGAGACATATTTGTTGCGAGCCTTTCTAATCATTCGGTTTCCTGTGGTTCGGTGGTTCCTTGCGTTGAAACATCCCGACTAAAAGCCAACAACAGGGAATGAGCTCTTCGGAAGCCAATGAAGTAGTGGCCACATTCGGACCTCAAAAAAAGATTTGGACAAGTTGAAAGGACAAAATCGAAGGAACTGATCGGCGAAAAGAGAAAAGAAAGCCAGTACAAACAATAGCCTGTGTACAGACGTCCCCCCTCCCTCAGGAAAAATCGGGAGAGGAAACGTCTGTGAATCGCCGACGAAAATCGTGTTCCCGTTTCCCCGGAATGTTGGGGACAGCCTCTGATTGGTTGCAATGTTAATGCCATGACGCATATAATTTCCGGTGTTGTGATTGGTGAATGAACCTCGGAATAGATTCCCCGGGGAAAAGCTCAGCCTTTGTGGACATTCATATTTATTTACCGGTATTTGTATTTCGGCTCTCTCGAAAAGGCATGAGAAGTTACCACCGATGTTTGCTGCTCGGTACTGTAAATAAAAGAGAAGGCATACAAAATCCAACGTTAACAGCCGAGGCAGGTCAAGCTTACCCCAGAAAGATTCTATTTTAAAAATGAATTGATTATTTGTATAAATGAATCCGTTAGTCGTCCCCGTAACTGGTGTCAAATTTAAATCGGCATTCCTGTATGCGTAATGAGCAGTGAATATTTTAAGAGAACTTCTCTGCATTTGGTCAGAATGAAAATCTTCGAATGGATTAAATGTCTTAGAGGACACTTACATCAAATTCAGGGAAACTGAGCTGGTAGAAATTTCGTAACTGAATCGCGTGTGAATTCACGGCTTATTACGCATGCAAGAATGCACACAGAGATGAATCTGAAATCTACAACTACCAACCGTTGAACTTTCGAATAATAATTACATTAATGGCATCTTGGAAGGTACGCTTGACCTGGCTTGACTGTAATCCGAGATCTTACTAGTATATCTGGATTTTTGGGTGGACATTGCGTGAAGATGTTCGGCTAGCCTGTGCACAGATGCCAGAGCTATTTTTCGACCCACATGTACCTTTTCAACTGTCGGCGAAAAAACAAAAAATAATTTATGCAAATGTATACTGGAGCACGATTAACGACGGCGATTCACAGACGTCTCCTCTCACGATTTTTCCTGAGGGAGGGGGGACGTCTGTACACAGGCTATACAAACAAACGAAAACACATGATATCATTTTTTCCGATATTAGTCCGTTTGGAACACGAACCTTTGTCGTGGGCTGATACTGTGGGGTCGTTACAAAAATTGAATTTAAAACTAAAGTACATAATTATAAACATAATCGGTGATTACAAAGGTAGTCTAATAAACCTGAACTGACGCAAGTAAGGAACCAAAAATAACGACCTGGCCCTGGTTGATCAAACGACCGATCATTTTTCTAACGGATACCGTGT